TGCATTTCATTAATAAGTACAACGAACAAGACAAGATCCCAAAAACATTACAATTATCAATCCTGATTCTCGACTCCTAGAGGATCGACCTCATCATCTCAGGGCTAGTCATCATCCGCCTGGTCGGTTGTAGGTTCCTCAGGGGTGTGTCCCGAAGCATCTCCCTAATCAAATCCTTGGGCGGCCTCCGTTGCTTCCTCATCCTCATGTCGCGCCATGGAAATGAGAGTTTCCCACCAATCCTTCGGGAGGTCGGACATATCAATCTGTGGATTCTTCGACCGCAAGGCATAGATGGACTCGATCGCCCATTCAACAGCCTTTGCCTCGGTCTCCTCTGCTTGGTTCTGCATCTCTTCAGTCAACGAAGTAATTTTTCCCTAACTTGCTTGGAGTTTGGCCTCAATAGCCTGCCTTTGCTTCTTTAAGACCTCCCTCTCCTGCTCTGCTTGTAAAGCCCGCTGAGAGGTCGTTTTAAGCTCCTGATCTTTCTCGCCGACTTCCCTGGAAAGCCTGGCTATAATTCTCTGGAGTTCCTTTATCTCTTCCCCGTGCTTCTCAAGCTCGGCCTTTTGAAAATCCACCGTTCGAAGAGCCACACCCATTTCGTTCAGATACCGGACCACTGATTCAGTGGATAGCCTCTTTTCTGCTTCGACGGCTTCCAGGTCCCGTTTGAGCTTCGCATTCTCTTCCTTCAGCGTGACCTCTCTTGCAGTAGCTCCTAGCCGAACCTTTTGCAGGCATAGTTGCATGGAGAGCAGAGCCTGCGAACAAGAAGAATGCCAGTTTCCTACCAAGAACAAAAAGGCAGTCCTCGCTGAGGACGGTTCGTTTTACCTTGCCTATGTGTTGGATTGATGTGGACATCAGGTCCACATGGTTGGAACCCACGAACTCTTCAAATACTTTTGCCCGTTTGCACTCCAGCAAGGCGAAGACTGCCGATTGCAAATGATCTGACAGTTGTCCCATCGAGTCCAACACAGGAGTATTCTCACCGGTACCCCCGACAGGAGTGTCGCCCACCAGATCCTTACCCAACCTCCTTCCAGTGCTTGCGACCTTGCTTTGCCCTACTCGTGATGCTCTTGAAGCAGTGGGAATGCCTGGTTCCGACCTCCTGGGCTGAACGCCTAGATCCTCCGGTTGGGACTCTGACTCTTCGACCCGAATTTGCCGCCTCTTCTTGGGTCGCTGAGCCATTGTCTTTTGGTTCAGACGAGTATCCGAAGGCTAGGAAACACCCGCCAAAGGTTGGGGAGACTCAAGAGGACGTGTAGACCCCAATGTTGCCCCTTCGGTCGAGGGGCCACTAGGAGCAGCTTCGGTCGCCCTAACAGTCCTCGCCCGAGGGAAAGAAAATTGTCTTCATCGTGGCGACCCTGGCATCTTCGAAGGCATAGTTGCTGCATATGAACGTCGTTAGTTAAAAAAAAAAAAAAAATTCACTGCGCAATAAAAAATGATCCAGTTAACACAACTTACTCGATGGAGGCTCTAAGGTCGCGTCTACGTTGAAGAAGTTGTACCTCTGCAAATTCGCAGTTGTCACGAGCAGCTTTGCATCGCAACTCACTTCGGGCAGGAAACCGAAGACTATGATTCTTTTCGGATCCGCAAGCAGCTCCAAACTGGTCGTTTTGTTAACTGCCAGAAAAATAAACAGTTTATTAGTGAGAAAAACAAAGTCAATGAGCTCGTTAAGGGAAAAGAACCTACTGGGGTCATGGAAGCGGTAGAGGCCGTCGTAACGAAAAAAGAAAAACTTTGACTCATAAGCCCCCGCATTGCTAGGGTAATTGTGTATCCCCGCTGCGATAGTAGGTTGTCTGGACAAGTAGTAGGAGTCCTTATCCTTGCACCTTTTTAGGATGTACGAGCAACCGAGTTCTACTACAGTTATCTCGCCCAACCCGTTCTCGCGACACGCGATGTATATGGCAACTGCAATCATGTACTCGTTCGGCGTGATTTGCATCGGCGCGATCCCGAAATGATCTAGGACGAACTTGACAAAAGGGTGGAAAGGGATCAACTCCCCACCCTTGAAGATTTCCTCAGAGATCGCGGCCAACCCACGTGGCGGATACCGAGCTGTACGTCTCCTATCGCGGAAGACATCCACGCGGATACTGTATTGATCTATCACCCTATTGAGCTCATCCTCAGTGAGTACCAAGTAGATCTCTTGGGTGGGACTCGCAGGAACATCCTGCGTAGACGAGCTGGTCCCTTCCTTGGATCTGGTCGTTGAGGGGTCCATCCTACTGCAGTCTACAAAAGCGACAAGCAGGGAATCTTTTTAGACCTCGTACGTTATTTCGTATGACGACGTGAAGGACAGCAAAGACTTCCCTTCCTAAATCACATAAAAACCCTAGCAGAATATTTCAAGCCGCCATTCGTGGCTCGAACCCAGCAAGAATATTTCGTCTTCGATCAACTACCGAAAGATGTATCATTTATCGACTACTGAGAGTAGGAAATAAACAGAAAAACGATTCTTACCTCTTGGAATATGAGGACGAATCCTTATGCTTCAAATATCAGGTACGCGTTGGCTTGGAAGGCAAAGAATCTAAGTTTGCAAAGTCTCTTGCTCTCTCTGAGAAGATGAGTATGGTGACATTGCCTGAAACGAACTTGGGTTTTATAGCAAAAGAACTGGCGCTTGGTTTTCCTGAGATCAAACGACGTTTAGGCGGCAAAATGTACCTCCCTGTTGATTGCGACCACGTGTCGCAGATCCACGAGAAAGGGTGACCGTCACGCTCCAGAAAACCAAATCGTCGTCCTTCTCCATTGAAAAACCCAAACGACGGCACGATTCTCCTACCGCATTAAATGCGCCCCAATCTGCATTTAATGCTCTAATGGAGTATATCGTTTCAGCATGTCACGCATTTAATGTGCATGACTGGCATTAATTGTGCATAAGACACATCTGTCAGAGCAGAAGGCGTTTCATTAAATGTATCTATTACGAAAATGCCATAGGTAACGCCTGAAGAGATCGTTATGTAGAACACTCTTCGTCTGGTCAGTCACGAAGCAACGTGACTCCTATTTTACCCCATTGGTCTCGAAGCAACGTGACTCTCGACGAGTATTCAGTTCCAAAACAACCCAATCCCTTGTCCAGAAGAGAATTTCCAAGTATAATCAGGTCGTGAACTTTGGAAAATCGAAATCATAGCACTGGTATGGTCTAAAATCAGGTCGTTCAGTCTTAAGCAGACTACCAGGTCGTGCGCACAAAAGCGCAGTCTCGACCTCTTTTCAAATAGGTCGGAATCACCAGATTCCTCGAAGGCGTCTTGTCACGGCATGAATTATAGTTTTCAAGGTTCGATCCTCAAGCCTTAAAAACTAGGGGACTTCTTTTATGCCTGAAAAAGTAGAGCTGACGCAAGACCCAGTCAGCATAAAAAGTCAGAGCTTAGGTAGACCCGCAGCCAGTCAGAGGCAGCCACGTCATATAATGACAAGGGCGGCATGCTTGTGTCAGGACAGTGGATACGCGTCAGACCAGCCAGGAGCTATAGCGATTTCACGTGTCCAATCCCTGCACCAAATCGCGTAAATCACTCTAGAATGTGGGTAATGGGATATAAAGAAGGATTTGCACGGATAATCTCACCAACTCACAGATTTAGTAATGATAACCTTAATCTATCCCACTATAAATAGGGAGTTTTTCTTTCATTTAAGGGATTAGCTAATCTCTCTAAAGAAAAAATAGCATTTTATCTCTTGTATAATCATTTGTAAGTCAGTCCACTGAACGCGACCTGACCACTATCATTAATACGAAATCAGTGGACATAGGATTTGCTTTCTTAGCATCCGAACCACTTTAAATACTGTTCTCCATTACTCTCACTCTCTCGTTCACGTGTGTGTTCTGGGCCAGCTCAGTATTTCACACGTGCATTTGGTTGGTGTCAAAATCTCGCATCAACAAAAGTCAATAACTAGTTGCTAATATCCACACCTGAGAGATTTTGTGTGTGTATTCATATTAATATACCAGGTAACATCTCAAGTCCTAAATAAGTAGATATTGTGTTAACTTTATGCATGTGCCATTCAATTATACAGTAGATATTATATAAGTATTTCTCCTTACACAGATATAAATTTGTATGATTTTATAGTCTTTTTCACTCTAAAAACATGTGTACTTAACTGAGGGAATCAAACCGAGGCATAGTTAGGAAATTTTTAAAGTATATTTGTTGTAATTTTTTGAAAAAATTACAACAAATTCGAGCAAGGTTACAACACGGCTTAGCCTGTGTTATGCTCTGCCCTTGGAATCAAAGGTTCAAAAACTAAACTCAAATTCATCTTTATTATGAACCTTTGTTGTTTTAGATTAATCATTGAGACGTTGCAAGTCAACCATGCATTGTCATGATATAGTCATTAAGTCATCATAAATCGGCTGATATTGACCTACTAAAAATAGGAAACTGCCCTTCCATGAAATTAACCTATTGTAACTTAGGATTTTTCATATCATTTTTAATAAATGGAAAATTAATCAATTAAAAAAAAACAAATTATCTACGCTATATCACTAGAAACCATACAAAAAATTATATTATACTTCTTAGGAATATGAATTTTAATTATAACATACCGAATGAGATTATAATAATAAGCATATGTATTAAAATTATAAAACTTAATCAAGGAAAATTAAAATCAAATAATTTTGGTGTGCCCGACCCACTTATGTCTTGATGTAGGTGTAACGAAAAACTTCGTAGAACTTGCTGTCACTTCATCTTTCCTCTCTCCACTTAAGGTCCCACGTCGGCACAGACATATGACAAGTTGACAACTACTTCCCCTAAGCATTATTAAAAATCCCAAAAACAAAAAAAACTTAAATATAAAAATTAAACCTTTTACTTGGCCTCTGTCGCTCCACGTGTCCCCGTACCATTCGTCATTACCTAGATTTCCATCACTCATAGCTCCCCAAAAAAATCCCCTACGCCAAACATATCAAAGACCCCTCTCCCATTTCTCCACGTTACCCGTCTACACCAAAACGAAAACTGATACCAAGTTTTTTTTTGTAAGTGTTTTTTGGAAGTGTTTTTGTTTTTCGCTTGGTAATTTGTGACATGGGAATTGAACTACACAACCACCATCTCAAGGGTATTTCTGGCGGCTGGGGCGTGGCGGCGAAGCCTTGTGACACGTGTAAAGCTGCTGCCTCGGCTGTGTTCTGCCGCGTAGACTCGGCTTTTCTTTGTCTAAACTGCGACGCCAGGATTCACTGCGTCAACAAGCATGCACGTGTGTGGATGTGCGAGGTGTGTGAGCAGGCACCCGCGGCCGTCACGTGCAAGGCCGACGCAGCGGCTCTGTGCGTCACGTGCGATAACGATATCCATTCGGCGAATCCTTTGGCGAGACGCCACGAGAGGAACCCGGTCGAGCCGTTGTTCGACTCGGCGGATTCCATCGTAAAGTCTTCGACTTTGAACTTGGCGCCAAACGAAAACGGGAGTTCAGAGTTCAGTGGCGCGTGTCAGCAACATGAGGAAGGAGGTGTGGATAGTGGCGCGTGGTTAATGCCGCGGAGTTCGAAACTGAGTTTGGAAAGTACAAATGAAATGAAATCCGGGGAGCTGTTCTTCTCCGAAATGGATCCGTTTCTCGATTTTGAGTACACGAATTCGTATCCGAATCACAGTGCGTGTATGGATAGTGTTGTCCCAGTTCAGACTCCGAAACCTCCTCAAATTCAAGTCATGAACAATGAAAATTGTTTCGATATCGATTTCTGCCGATCCAAACTCACTTCATTCAGTTACCAAACTCAATCTCTCAGCCAAAGTGTAATTAATTAACCCTTTAAAAATCTCTCCTTTTCATTAATTTATCAAAGAAAAAGAAGAACGAGTTCTTATAAATTCATTAACTTTTTCAGGTTTCGTCTTCTGATGTTGGAGTTGTTCCGGACGGGAAATCAATGTCCGATATATCATATCCATTCGGCCGAAACATTGCGGGAACTGATCCAAACGTGCCGGTTTCCGGTGCCAGTACAAACCAAGCAACGCAACTATGCGGACTCGATCGTGAAGCTCGGGTTTTGCGTTACAGAGAGAAGAGAAAGAACCGGAAATTTGAGAAGACAATTCGGTATCATTCACGTAAAGCGTACGCCGAAACGAGACCGAGAATCAAAGGCCGGTTCGCGAAACGGACAGAGGTGGATTCGGAAGTTGGCCATCTCTATGTCTCTCCAGCGGCCTTCATGGCCGATAACCAATACGGCGTCGTTCCGACGTTTTGAGGAAAAGTTGGAGGAAGTTTAGTCCGTACGTGCTCTCCACTCTCATCATCATCCGGTACTTCTTGGCTTGGAAGTTTAACTATGGAACTAAAATAATCAGATGGTTGGTGTTAGTTTTAAGTGTATGTAAATTAGGGTGATGAGTTTTAGCCGTTGATTTACAAGATTATTAGGATGATGATGATGATTGATTGATTAATTAGCTTTTGTATCTTCAGGTTTTCTCTACGATCTCCCTCCAAATGACCGTTTACTTTTTCTTATGAGGGCTTTATTGTAACTTCCTTTTCTTAATTTTCAGTAAAAGTTTCTTCTTTCAAGGATCTATATCTCTATTTCTATTGGTTGATTTTTTTATTTAGAATATCCAAATCTCTTTTTTCTAAAGCAGAAAACTTTTAAGAAAGGGCCAAGTTTAATATGATCATATAATAAAATATTAAGAGCCGGAAGAATCTTATTTTAATTTAATTTCTGGAACTTTCTTAATTTGATGAGTTCATTCATTACTTGGCTTTCGAAAAATGCATTTGTCCATATTCACTGAACTGAATTTTGACTGCCCATTATTATTATTATACTTTATCTTTTGTAATTTGATATTGGTCACAGCTTCTACACTTTTCTAATTTCAGTAACCAATCAATCAAATTATTGGCTTGGGTGGGGATATGTCAGGTTAAAGTCAGAAAGATAGCATAAAAATATGCTCCAAATTTTCAGAATATAAAGTTTAATTAAATGAATATGCCCACGTTCTTGTGTATATATTCGAAATTTATTCGAATTTTTATTATATTAAAGTGATATTTTAGGATTATTTATTTGTCACTAGATCGGCTTCTACACTATTCTAATTTGATGTCATCAAAGTATAATCTATGAAACCAATGAGTTTTATGAATAGGACCTTCAAGTTGAAGTTAAAATATGTTATTTTGGAGGGGCGAAATCTTCCCTTGATTGGAATATTATTTTTGCATTTTCTGCATCATATTATTATGTTTGGTTGGGGGTAATAGAGAATTATTATTTGATTACCACGTTTGGTTGTTAAGTAATATAAAATGCTAGTAATCTTCTAAAACCAATAGTAATTACTGTTGGTTTCTTAAGTATTTTAAGATTATTTAATAATCTTATTTTTATTATAATTTTATCTCTTATTGATAAAATTTTAGGACAATAATACCCTTGTTTTAAAAACAATTTACAAAAATACTAATTGATTATTTTATCATTATATACAAAGTTTTTAAGACATAAATACCCTTACAATTTAAAAAAATTACCCAAGAGTGGTGGCCGAATCTGGTCATGGTAGCGACAGAATGGCGCACGACCGGTTGAATCTGGTCAGTCGTGCGTCGCTAAAGCCGTTTTTGGCCATGAATCTATGATCCATGACCTGAAACAATCAGATCTAGCCTTTCATGGCCAAATCTCCACTGTCGTCGCCGTCGACGGTGGTGGCAGGGTATCGACAGTGGCTTGAGGTGGGTGGGGGTGTTTTTGTTAAGTTTTAAACTTTTGTTGTTATTGGAGTGTTTTAGCTAAATTTGAAATGTAGGAGGTTAATAGAAATTATTCAAAAAATAATATTATATTAATATTAAAAAAGGAGGGTAATTTAGTAATTTATGTAACATACCCACTAATTTATTCCTCTTAATCAAACAATTAATATAATATACCTATCAATTTATTCAAACCAACTAAACACATTTCCCTAAACATTCCCAATAATCTTTAAAGTAATATATATTTTCATTAATAGAACATTCTTAGTAATATAATATTCCCTGAATCAAACACACCCTTAAAGTATAGGATTGAGACACCCTATATACCTATTGTGACATTATTTGGCGTTATATTTGTTATGTTGAAATACATATATTGTGATATGATCTAAGACTATTCTGACGGGTTGTTTGCATCGGGAAAGGTTAATATTTCCTATATTACATGGATAAATATTAAAACTATGTATGACATGTTAAATTATCTCCTTAAATTGCAATATATATGAAAGTGATGAAATATCTTCCCCGAAACCGTACAATTACGAAGAAAGAAAATGTTCATATTCCTTTACTATAAATTGTAATAATGTAATGGTTTGAAACGAGGACTTTGAAAAATATATTTGGATTTATTTCATTATTTCAAAGCACACAACAGTTGATTGAAAAATATATTTGGATTTATTTCATTATTTCAAAGCACACAACAGTTGATTGAAAAATATATTTGGATTTATTTCATTATTTCAAAGCACATTGTAGTTGAAACAGTGAATATTCTTCTTAAATAATATTACACTAACAACCCTTTTTAACAAACATTTTCTCACAATCTTGACATGGGAGTTTACAATTAATCAGTTCACAATGAGTCTTACTAATTAATTGCGAGCTATCACGTTAAGATTGTGAGAGAAAGTTTATGAGAAAGAGTTGTTCATAAACTTTCTCTCACAACCCTGATGTGACAGCTCGCAATTAATTAGCTTATAACAAATCTTACATAGGTCCTATATGAGTCTCACTAATTAATTATAAACTGTCATGTAAAGATTGTGAGAGAAAATTTGTGAGATAGAGTTGTTGGTGCAATATGACTTATTCTGCTTCATATAAAAAAGTAAAAGCGCAATGGCTGCTATTTTGATAAATATTGGCTGAAACGTCAAGTCAAATTCAACCCCACACAGTGAATCATGTGCTCTAACTTGGGGAAAGTTCTTCGAATTATTAGTCTAGATCAAGAACATTTTATGATATTGGATCGTTAGAGTTAATCTTGAACCCGATGTAGAAAATATCTTCTTAAGGGTGCTGGATTAAAGACAAGAATTAAGCTCCTAAAGATTTAACAATCTCTCAAGACGGTGAATGAAACTAAATCTTTTGTTTAAGTACTCCAGTTTGTTAAGGCGGGTGTTCCACTTTCTTCCATGATAAATCTAAATTTCCCAATTACAAACAAACCTGGTACAAAACATTTTGCGAGAGGCAGGTTCATATTATTTGCTTTCACTGACATTTTCCTTCTATAATTCGATATGCCTATAACTCTGGAATTTTTTTTTTTTTTTTTTTTGGGCTCATAAATTGCAAGATTTTAACTAGTGGCTGCAGTTCTCTCTGGACCATTTCTCAGTTTCCAAACATGGCTCTTGTCATCAAACATTTAATTCGAAAATGAACCATTTTTTGGGTAAGTAGAAGACACTCTATCTATGCTCAAATTTGTCTGATCAAACTGAGTATATCATATCATATATACGTCAATGTTTAATGGTTGTTATAAAATTATCTTATCTTCAATTATACACTCAATATATATTAGTATAAGAGGGATTTTTTTTTTTTTTTTTGTCAAGTATAATTTGCATAATTTTCAAATAGTGTTTCCTTAATCACAAGCACATTTTTTTGGTGGGTGCGTTTTATCTTAATGATTTGATGATTTTAGGTAGAACTATTAGTTTTTAAGTGGATGATTTGACAATTTTATAAGTTAATATAAAAAATCATAATTTTGTATTTTATTTTTTGTTTTTATTTATTATTTTTTAGGTTTGATGGATTCATATAATTATCCAAATTTAACAAATCGCTAACACTATTAATAAACGTTTTTTTCGGATTTTCATGATTTTTTGACTCAAAGGGAGTAGATTTTATTTATTTGTTCATGATTTATCAAGTTAAAAATTATGAAAAAAAAATCAAATCTACTTGAAAAAATTGAGATTTTTTGAATTATTTTTCTTAAGTTAAACGAATATAATTAAAATTTTGTATTAAATTGTGATAAAAAAACCAAAAAAAAAAAAAAGGACAGAAAAGACGTGAGAAAAACCCAAGCTTCGGCTTGCATGTGTATATGAAGTAGCTATCAAAGTGGGCTCCATAAGACAAAGAGTGGGGCCAGACCACATCCCCTTCACGTGCGAGACCGGCCCACGCCATCTCGTCGTGGGCTCACCCTGTCACGCACGCACCATCGCCAACTTACAGTGGTCCATGCCCACTTTCTCTCTCTCTCTGTCCACTATCTTTCAAAAGCCGACAATCCACACCATTTACATGGTCAACCGGTCAAGTCCAATCTCTCTCTCTCTCTCTCTCTTCCTCTAGTCTGGGGTCACAAATTCCTTTACCTTGGTGCAACTTGGTACCGAGAGAGGTAACGCTACCGGTGATGGTTACTCGATTGCCTTTGCCCCTTCACCTTTTTGGAAGTTCACGTTTGTCCTACTGGGGAGTAAGCTTACTTAGTACGGTGTTTGTGAGGGGTGCTTCGTGTACGAATTTCCTTTAGTGATGTTACTGAAGGCTGATACGTAGTGGGTATACATATATATTTGAGGCAATTTAATGATTATGCTGGGGTGGTTGTAGCCTACTAACATTTTCCTCCGTTTGGTTAGTTTTTCAGCATACATCAATGTTTAATAGTATTTAAAAATAGGGTAGAATTTTGAGAATTTTTTTTTTATATTTTTTGAAAATATTGTTTTTAAAATATTTAAATTATTTAAACCCTTAGGTTTGCTAATTTAACTAATACCCCTATAATAAAATTTATAAATTGACAAAAACCTTCACCTATGCACTATTGCTAGTAGCCAGCTGTCATCGTCGGAAAGTTTCGAAATCTACCGGAATGGGGCTATCACCCGTCAAAAGATAGTTGAATTTGTCGGAATGGCTCACAACCAGCTAGATTTGGCCAATCGTGGTGCTACTGTCCCTTTCTCGGCTAGATCCACTATGGATCTGGCTGGAGTGGCCAAATTTACTGCCAAAGATTTGGTCGCCGTTGCGTCGTTACAACGGCAGCAACTGACGGTGGCAACGACAATGTGCTGTTGGCAGGTTGATAGTGACTTGGGTGGGTGGGGGTGTTTTATTAATTTTAAAATTTTATTGAAAAAGATAATTGTTAATGTTTTGAGTTGAATAGAATATGATTGAATTTTGAATATTAAAAATATGTATTTTGATAGGAATATTGAATAAAATAATAGGATAGGATGTGAGAAAATAGGAAAAAACTGGGGGTACATTTGCTTGAATTTGTGCTAATTTTTTCGGAGATAATCCACAGGTTATTGTAGGGCAATGTTACTGTTTTGTAAATGTATACAGTTTTTTTCTTTCTTCTTTTCAAATTTATCTAATAGTAAATTTTTTTCATAATGTATCACATGTATGTTTTCTCTTATATTTTAGCTACATATAACTTAAATGAAATGGAAATTCTCTAATGAACCTTGTGGTTTTTATTATTGATTGATATAAGAGTACTA